TAAACCACTGTGAAAGCCGAGTCCTCTTTCTCCTACAATGAAACTTATCAAAGATAAGCAAACGTTCAAACCACTTCCATGACTTATTTCCCTTTTTTAAATAGTCAAATAGTGATGCTCATAAGCCCTCTTTTCAATAGATTTGTACCTAAACAAATTAAAACGCAATTAATTCTCTTTACTATTATTTGTTTATAAATTATTTACTAAAGAATGACACAGTATAAAAATAAAATATATTTAAAATCAATAAAATAAATCCAAAAAAATATAAAAATATACATGATACGAGACACCATTATTTACAGAAAGCTTTCATGTTTTATATTCTTTTGACCGATATGATGTCAACCGTCATATGGCAGAGACAGAGCCGGCGTTAGGGGGTGGCAAACGGGGCGGTCGCCGCAGGCCCCGCGCTTGAAGGGGCCCCGCGCTTCAGCACTGTCATTATTATCTGAATTAGTTTGTAAACTTAAATAAATTGTTGCTGAATTCAATTGGGGAAAAACTAAATGGTCGAATGCCGACGTTGTTGATTGTTATAATTGAGGCCACGGTTGATGTTGGTGAGTCCCACCTGAACTGGGACAGGTTGTAATTCGATACAAAAATAGTGTCACACCTCCCCTTTGTGTAGGGTACGGTCGCATGGCATTTGACCTGAGCTGACTGGAGATTGTTGGACGCGAATCAGCCCCCGACCTGACATGGGATGTAAATTTGGGAAACACGTACAGAGCAGTTTTTTTTCGGGGGGGGGGGGGGGGGGGGCTTAGGAAGAAACTCTGGTAAAGAGATACCCTATTATATGTGGACCGATGAAGATGTCCTTTTAGTGAGCAAGCGGGATATCTGTAGTAGACAGTTAGTGACCTGATGAACGCTAGTCCTGACTTGCTTGTTGAAGATGTCGTATATGTAGGCCTACTTATCTTGGTATAACAAAATTAACATTCAGTTGCGTGCAGAGGGGTGGGAGGAGGGCGAATAGGGGGGGGGGAGCCCTTAGGATCTATATCAGGGGGCATTAAACAGGGTGATTTATTATTATTTTTTTTGGAAGAAAGTTAAAACTGTTGTTATGTTGTTTCATCTTAAGGATTCATCCGTTCCAAGACAGAATGATTACTTTACCGTTTTCATCCAAATTGTTTTATTCAATCGTCTTCCAGTGGTGCTGACATGATAGTCAGCGAATTGTCCTCGTCGCACAACTTTGTAAAAATCGTCCAAAAAAGCGCGACGTTCTTTATGGATGACCCCTAAGTCCAAAAGCTATCAGTGTTTTTCTATTTCTTTTCAACTTTAATTACTTTAGATTTGTTGATTTTGTAATTTGTCTAAAATTCTGTGCTTACTAACACTATCTTTTTTTTTAGATACAACTAAAACGCATGACTTTTATATTAACTATTAGTCATTAACAAACAATTTAAACAACTTTATTTTCCTAATTTTTTGGCACGTGATTGAATTTTCTTAAGTGATTTGGTATGAATTACATAACTGTCAAAAGTTATTTAATATCTTAGCAAGGAAAAAAAAACTAAGAACATTGGGTTAAAACATGGGAGAGATAAACATCTGTTATTAAAGTGGAAAGTTTGGCATTAGCTTATAAACTCCAAAACATTTATGTGTTGTTATGTGTGCATGCACATTAAATAAGCCTATATATATATATATATATATATATATATATATATATATATATATATATATATATATTTATATATATATATATATATATATATATATATATATATATATAATGGAAAAAAGCATGCCCCGCGCGGATGGTTGGCCCTAGGCCCCGCGTATTCCTAACGCCGGCTCTGGGCAGAGATAATATAAAACTAATTTTCACAAAACAGACTAATGCACTTACACTCATGACATGATGTTGTAATTTGTTTTAATTAAATAAAACCCACGTATTTCTCATAACACGAACAGGCCAGCATGAATAAGTATCCTATGTTCGTATGCTGTGTTTGAGTATATATATATATATATATATATATATATATATATATATATATATATATATATATATATAGGCCTATATATTTATATGGGGGGGGGGGCCTAAAAAATTTTTTTGCGGGATGGTCCCTTTTTTCTAGTTCCGCCACTGGAAGGACGCCCTCGGTTCTTGCACTGCCTGACACCCGTGCTAGTGACGCCACTGTTTGATATTCATCTAAACGCGTTCACTCTTTCTCCTAAAGAGTTTTGTACTGGATTATAGGCGTCGTTGAATGTTCAGGCGGTAAAATGGGGAAAAAATAATGGAAATCGTATACCGTGGTTAAATGATCAACGATTCGTTAAATCACATTGATTGTTTCGTTTAAACTATTTGAAAAATGATCGTTTTTAAAAGTGCATGCTTATTTGAGTTTACAAATATTAGCAAGGTGCACTTTACTACTTAAAAAAAAAACATTTTAAACTAAATATTTGTATTAAAAGTTTTAAAATACAATCTTCAGTTTGGACTTTGATGAAAACCTGATATTTTATGCTCACGATGTAATTCTATCTTTTAAAACTATATTTGAGAAGCGACGAAATTCTATACTTTTAAAAATGTAAATCGATCGCTTCTTAAAATATATTTTTTTAAATTATAAATAAAGGCTTATCTCTTTGCCTTAACGGTATCAATATTTTTGAAACCTAAGGTAGTGTATTAGGAAGATATATTTTCTGTTCCGCTCTTCCCTATTTTCCCGCAATAACAGTTGTGTAATGAAACCATAGTTAATTTCAACATCAATGAAACCATAGTTAATCCCAACATTAATGAAATCACAGATAATCCCAACATAAATGAAACCATAGTTAATCCCAACATTAATGAAATCACAGATAATCCCAAAATAAATGAAACCGTAGTTAATCCCAACATTAATGAATCCATAGTTAATCCCAACATTAGTGAAACTATAGATAATCCCAACTTTAAACCCTACCTACTCAAGTAAAACTTCAGCAATGTTAAGAGACCCTCGTTATTGCAGTATTTGTTTCCTATGGAAATCTGGTTATAAAAAGATATATTAAATAGACAGCTATAGCTCTTAGAGTTATTTAAATTTTAAATCCTAGATGCACTTTTCTACCTTCAGCGATAAAAACGATAGATATTATATTCAAAGTTTAAGCCAAAAATATTTGACGCCCCCCCCCCCCTCCCCTGAACTAAAGGGAATTTATATAGAAAATATATACTTTTAACAGTATCCGCTCCCCTTCCCCCGAAAATGTTAGTCTCCCCCACCCCCTGGAGAAGAGAAAAAAGTCTGGAAGAAACATTGGGTGTGAAAGGGTAACCACGATACTAACAAAGAATAAAGCTAATTATGTAAATTAAAATTCGTTGCAATCCATTTGGGCAGGTGTTTCATGACCTCGGCATATGAAGTGATGGTGTGGTCAGCACTTTGTTTAGCCGCCTTTACTTTCCCCAACACAAGTCAGGTACCCATCAGAGCTGGATGGACTCATGGACGTCCTACCAGTGTTTCTTCCAGACTTTTTTCTCCGGGGGGGGGGGGGGGGACTTGAAATTTTCGGGGGGGGGGGCGGTAAACTTTCTTCGGGGTGGGGGGGGGGGGGGGGCGGACACTGTTAAAAGTATATATTTTCTATATAAATTATATAAATTTCATTTCGTTAGGGGGCGGTAAAAAAATTTCGGGTGGGGGGGGGGGGGGCTTTTAAAAATGTAATATAATTTTTTTTATTCAGATAGAGGGAAGTAACAAAAATATTTGTTCTGTCTTATCATAACTCGATTACCTCTGATATTGAGGTTCGATAACTCCAACAGTATGTTGGTCGAAAAACCATATTGTGGTTAGTTCCACTGATTTTTTTCTTATATTTTAATCAACATATGGACTAACTAAGATATAATACACACATTAATTAGCATTATTTATCCAATCTGAGTATCTTGCACACATGCACGCAAGCACGCACGCACACACACACAAACAAAAACAAACACTCACAAATATAATAAATAGATAAATAAAACAAATGTCAAGAGGTTTTCAGCCTTTTGGTCTCACCCTGTGCTAAAAAAACTCATTTTTATCCCCAGCAGTGGCGTAGCGATTTCGGATGTCACCCGGTGCGGCACTTAATGGTGTCACCCCCCCCCCCCCCCCCAGAGCCGTAGACAAAATTTCAAATTTCGATTTGCACCCCCCCCCCTCCTCTCAAACTTTCGATTTGCACCCCCCCTCAAGTTTTTTTCTATATATTTTGCTATTTTTTGCCTTGGTGTCACCCCCTAAATGGTGTCACCCGTTGCGGTCCGCACTCCCGCCCCCCCCCCCCCCCATTACGCCTCTGATCCCCAGCATTATACACACTGTAGGCCTACTCTATGTGCGGCATATTTTTTTTAATTTAAAAAAGTCTATCCCTCTGTCTTGGTTTTTTAATTATACATGTGTATACATATTAATGGTAATATGTATACACATGTATAATTAAAAAGCCAAGACAGAGGGATAGACTTTTTTAAATTAAAAAAAAAAGAGCTGAAGCCAACAGACAAAATTAATAGCCGGGGATCGGAAGAAATGGAAGGAAATGGTGGAGGCCCTATGTTCCATAAGGAGCAAAGAGGACTAAGTCAAATAAGTCATACATATTACCATTGCCATCATCGGCGTATTCCTTATGCTTTACACGGCTGAGTGTGGTGGGGGGGGGGGGGATAAGTGCTTTTTTACCCCTTCCCCTTTCCCCGCACCAGATATTTAAGTCAGCTCCCCAAAAGTTTCAAGTGCTCCCCCCCCCCCCACCCAGACGCTTCAAGTGTACCCTCCCCCACCTCGAACCCCGAGAAAAAAATTTGCTTGAAAGAAAACCTTAAATTCAAGCACTACTTGTGTGAACAAACAACAAGTCAGATATAATTGTTATTAAAATGGACTCAGCCATGACTTTTTTATTAAAAGGCGGAACACGCAGGGTTGGTATAAGAAAATGACAATCAAGGTTTCATTCAAATGCCAAAAGAAGAGCAGACGGAGCCGAGCACTTGACCGTGCAGCGAGCTCAGAAGGGAGAAGTTGGCCACGGTGAAGGTCAGGCTTGGTGACGAGCTTAGTGACGTCAGTGACTTCTGAGACAGGTTTCTGCCGACTCGCAGAGCAATGACCTTGACACCATTTTCCTGGAGAAGTCTGGACTCTGAGGCCGCTGGGGTGTCTGGAAGGTGGGAAAAATAATTTTCAAATATTTTTTAACGTTTTTTTTTCCAACATGTTTTTGTTAATATTGGCTTGTATAGTAGTCATGTCACACAACTTGAGGCGTTGGGGGTAGGGTGGATAGGGAGTGGTTCGAAGATTTTTTAATGCTGTCGTGGGAAGGGTGGCTTAAGAAAGTGTGACATCACATTATTTTGCAATTTTTTTTTAGTAAATACTTAAGGTTTGCAACTATATAAACAAAGTGTAAATCGGAAAAAGAAGGTGCGTAACCTTGACCATGATTTGCTAGAAAAAAAAATTTAGTAAGAGGGAGACTTAAGTGCTTCGGCTTCGCATTTCAATCGTTGAGTTATCAGGACTTTTGTGACAGTGTTTGATAATAAAGTTTGGTGAGAAGGCTGAAGGTAATCAGCAAGAAAGCCTTGCCATCTTTAATGTACAACGTACAAACTAAACTTTCACAGAAATTAATTTCAGAATAATATTTTTTTTTTGACATTTTTCAACGCTAGACTCAACATTTCCCTAAGACGCCCCTTTGTTCATTTTTCGCAGATACAACTATAATCATCGAAAAACGTGGTTGTAGAATATCGTTGAATTGTTAATGTTATTTTATTCATAATCCATGTCTCTGTCTCTCTGAATGTGTTAATTTGACCTGAGTGACGTAAAGTCCGTCAGAATGTCAAAAAGGGGGAATGCAGGACGGCAAGCCTTTTACAACATTCGTAATGAACGATATAACAATAAATCTAAACAATAAACACTCCCTATTTATTGGAATAATTAACTACTCCCTATTTCAAGGTACTTCCTATAAAATGTTATCGTATATGGAATATTGACACATTTCACTCAATTTTTGACGTTTTATTTGTCGTTACTGTTTTGAGGTAGATCTACTTAAATTTACTAAAATTAAACCTAGATCTAGAATGTATAGAAAGTATTCTAAGCATGAAAGATTGTTATATATTAGGGTAAAATCACGATATAGCGTCGGTTATTATTCCGGAACTGTACAGCAGTAAAAAACAGTAAAACCAAGGCGTAGTCTGTCGAGCCGTTCCGGAAACCACCGGAAATACTGGAAACCATCATTTATTTGCCGCCATATTATTTTTAGTACATAATGTTTAAAAATGTGCAAGGATTGATTTTAGTTGCATTTTAAATACTGTTTAGCTAATTATTTTGTATTTCTAATTATTTTAAGTGTATGTGCTAATTATTGCTGCTACTAAACATTATTCTATTTATTCTTACTACTTTTAACTTTAGTTAATCTAGCCTAATCGTCTTATTTACTAACAGAACTAGATTCTAGAGCTGGTTGTCGCAAATCTTCTGCAGGTTTTTTCTGTTTCCTAAAAAAAAACATTAATTACTACACTTGACTTTATTAATAATATTTAGATTTACTAATTGTTGCTAATTTTTTTGTCAGTTAAACATTAAATTAAGTTAAAACATTAATTTAATGCACTTGACTTTATTTTTCTTTCACCGGTCAAATAAAGTATGGTTTACAGTAACGAATGTTACCGAAACTCAACGAACATTACCCAATAATTTCCGACGCTATATCGTGATTTTACCTATATTAGAATATATGACAATATAGATCTACACTTCTACAGCTAGGGAAATTGTAGAAAAAGATCAGGTAATCCCTTAGTTTAGCGTCGGAAATTATCGGGTAATGTTTGTTGAGTTTCGGTAAATAGAGTTACGGTAAACCATGGTTTATTTGACCATTGAAATATAAATAAATTGAAAGTCGATTGTAGTAAATTAATGTTTAAATTTTTTAAGTTTAATCGACAAAAGGAAACGAGAAAAAATATAATAGTAGATTTAAATTAGTAGATCTAAAAATTAAAAAAAACAAACATATAGGGGCCTATTAATATAAATATAAATAATGAAGTCAAATGTAATAATTTAATGTTTTTGGCTTGCAGCGGATTTGCGACCATTAATTAATTAGATCTAGATCTAGCTAGATATCTAGCTGCTAGGCCAAGTAAAAAATCAAGATAACGAAAATAGTAAAAATGATTACAACATGTAAAAATGATTGGCATTGTTTTACTGTTTTTTTACTGCTAAACGATTCCGGAATAATAACCGACGCTAAACTAAGGGATTACCAAAGATCAAGCATAGTACTAATAGTAGATAGTAGATAGATCTAGATCTAGATCTAGATGATGATAGTAGATAGTAGATAGGCATATCTAATTCTAAACTTCTAACTAAAAAAGTGAAAGTCTCTCTGTGGATACGCCAACAAAGTCAAAACAACAAATATTCTAAAAAAAAACATTCTTCTATTACTAGATCTATACGTATAGATTCGAGTACATAGATTACAAGGATACATATGATGATACTAGTAAAAGTAGTTTTCAATGGGGATTCTGAATAAACACAGACAAATAAATTTCTAACTAACATTTCTAAATATTTATTTATATTAAATTAACATTTACAGTCAACCATCTGAAAATTCTTCAAAATTATCAGTGTGAAGAAGCATGATAATAAAATATTTAATATTAATATAGATTCTAGATTAGATCTAGACAACTCAGTGAAACTATTATATTGCATTTGTGTGTCATTGCTGTAACTGTTGTTTAGAGATGAAAGAAAGGGGCTAACCAGTGCATTCATATTTGTAATAATACAAAATGAAACAGAAAGTCTGGTTGCTTCTAATAATCTAAGCTAATTTCCTTAGCTATTGGTAATTTATTTATAAATAATTTATAAAAAATTGAGGTGCATTTGCAATGCAGGTCAGAATTAGTTTGTTGCTGTATAATGGACTTGTATAAAGTAACAATGCCAATGTCATTCACACGTGGAGCACATTATTACACACTTACAATGGCGGAAGATATATTTAATAATTTAACATTAATCTGATGGCTAGCTGAGGGCAATACATACATCCAGGATAACTCTGTTGACATTCTGTGACACTGCTTATGTTACATATGTTAAAAAATACCCAAAAACAGACATTCTGGGCTTTCAAGACTCCTTGTGATGTTATAAAGCACTAGGAATTAGGTGCTGAGAAGAAATAAAAGACAAGGCTGGAGTGTATTGGCTGTTTTAATGGAAGAAAATCAATTTGTGTGTGTGAAAACGACATGTTAGCAAACTGTCTTCCAGTTATTTTCCACAATCATTGTCAAATTGTGATATTGTGCACACCAAAATCTTTTACACTTGTGTTATACTTTCTTAGATATGTAGGGCTATGTTTTGCTGTTTTCTCAAAATTTTAGTACATCTTTCAAATCTGTATCATGAGACTGATTCAAACTATAACCATACATGTCTTTTAGATGCATGGAAAGTATTATAACTGTGTGCTCGTTACTTGGGTTTAGTTTATTCCTACAATTTGATCATCATTTTTTGTATTGCCGATGATTTAAATTTTATTAAATTTCAAAAAATCTTTACATAACACAAACTTATGACAATACAATTTTCTTATTATAGAACAAGTTAGCGAAACTGTTAACAAACTTACCATCTGTTAATCTAATAGTTCTTATTTGGTAAATTGTTTAGGAATCTTAACTCCATTAAAACTAATACAACTCCAGATGATTCTCATCTAGGAGGGGCCATAGGATAACTTGAATCACTTACCATCCAAAGAGTCAGCGTTGGTTAAAACTATTATAACTCTAGATGACTCGCCTTTAGGAGGGGACATAGGATAACTTGAATCACTTACCATCCAAAGAGTCAGCGTTGGTTAAAACTATTATAACTCTAGATGATTCTCATCTAGGAGGGGCCATAGGATAATATGAATCACTTACCATCCAAAGAGTCAGCATTGGTTAAAACTATTATAACTCTAGATGATTCTCCTCTAGGAGGGGCCATAGGATAACTTGAATCACTTACCATCCAAAGAGTCAGCGTTGGTTAAAACTATTATAACTCTAGATGATTCGCCACTTGGTGGTGCAAAGGAATTGTAGCGAGCGTATCTGAAGGCTTCAGCTAAAGTTGGGGGCCCTTCATAACCTGGGCATGGGGAATGGTAGATCGCCTGGAGAAATATAATATAAATTTTCCCAGAAAAATGCGCAAACAGAAATGCTCAAATGAAAACCGCACAAACCGAAAAAATGCTCAAATATGAACAAACTAATTTTTTGTTGCGCAATCTTTCTGGCCACTATCTTTGAGCTCTACAGACAATGGAGGAGTGTGACCAGCTGCCCCTTTTCCCCCCTCCATAACTTTGCAGCGTGCTTTTCACATGCCAGACTCAGACCCCCCCCCCCCCCCATCTAAAATGACGTCACACTTTATTCGACCTCTCACATGCCTTATTTTTTTTTTAAATATTATTTTTGTTAGAGGACATAACCTAAGTAGAATGTTATTACTGAGATTTATAGATGAGTAGTTTCCCTTAGCAAGTGCGAACTTAAAACTTGGAATCTGTTTTACACTTAACGTATACAAATTAGAAACAATATTTGATCCATCAAACGATTTTCCAAACAACTTACAAAAAATATACGATGTTTCATTGTTAAAAAAAAATCAACTTTTTAAAATCATTTCTCCCCTCCTCTCCACCCTTACTCGTCGTTCTTCACAAAAGAAGTCCACCCCCCATCTCTAAACTACCCGAGGACAGCATTGTTCGTGGATGGTCCACCCACCCACACCTTATATAAGCAAAAATCATTTAACTGTTTATGAACCAGGTATTATATACTGGACACCTCACATGGTGTTATGCAGAAGGCAGCACTAGTTGTAATTTTAATAGGGCTGGTAAGTAGGTCACCAACCAGTTCCACGGCTCAATAAAACCTGCATGAGCCATAGAAATGGTTGTTGACCTACTTACCAGCCCTATTGTAACGACCATCTACAATTCATTCAACTTCAAATGCATTTTAGAGCTTAAAATAATCAGATTTGATTTGGAAATATAAAAAAAATCTAGTAACCGTCTTTTCGTTTTGAATATCGTGTCATTTAGACAAGACAGGTTTTTTTTAAGTCCAAAATTGTGTTACTTTTTTTTTTTTTAATCTTTAACCACACTGTTGTCCGCTGACGAAGACCTTAGGTCGAAACGTCAATTACAACAGTAAGAGTCTTTAATTTGTGAGGTAACTAACTCTACCTCTTTTTAAAAAAAAATTATTACTAACTACTTAACCGTTACACACAAGCTTACCTCGGTGACCGGCGAGTTTTGGGAAAACTTGTTGAAGTCGAAAATCTCAGAAACAGTAGGACCGGAATAGACCAAGCTGACTTGAACGGCGTCTTTAGAGATTTTGAAACCAGAGAGAAAATCTGTCACGAAGACCAGAATCTGAGCACAATCTGGGCTACTGAGTGGTGCTTGGATGTCAATAATAAACAGAAGTTGAATCTTGTCCTTGCAAACCGCGGAATTTCGTTTTCCGAAGTGATTATTATTTCCACTTCTGAAGTTTCCTCCGTGACTTTGGAATTTTTGTATTTGTTTTATGCTGTTGTGTTGTTGCTTATGACTTTGGCCATTTTTTGTATTGAAACGATGACGACTTTGATCATATGTTGGTCTAAAATCCCGTTGATGATTTTGACTATTTTTTGTGTTAAAATTTTGTTGATGAATTTGAGCTTTTCTTGAACGATGCGAACCTTGGTTTGCAGTTGGATACTTGTTAAAATTAGGAGGTTCTTGTTTCTTTTCATCGCGATAAAATTTCAGACTATGCCCTCTGGAAAGGTGAGTTTTGGATTGACCACGGTTTATTTCATGATGACTATGTTTAGAATTGAATTTCTGATTCGTCTTTGTCCAGTGATTTGGTTCGTAATGAGGAGCATTCGTTTTTATCGAAGGCTTATCCTTTTCGTGTTTGGACTTTGATTGACGTGAACGCCCGGAGACCGTGCGCTTAGTTCTTTGATTTTCTATTGGGTGTGGGGTCTGTTGGGTGTGTACAGTTGTTGGTGTGGGAAGGTTTTTTGATGATGTGTGAGTTGTCGTTGGGTAGGTTGTATTTTCACTGTGGTTTGTGGCAGGTGGGTAGGTTGTAGTTTCAGTGTGGGTTGTGGTTGGGTAGGTTGTTGTTTCAGTGTGGGTTGTGGTTGGGTAGGTTGTAGTTTCAGTGTGGGTTGTGGGTGGGTAGGTTGTTGTTTCAGTGTGGGTTGTTGGTGGGTAGGTTGTTGTTTCAGTGTGGGTTGTTGGTGGGTAGGTTGTAGTTTCAGTGTTGGTTGTGGTTGGGGAGGTTGTAGTTTCAGTTTGTGTTGTGGGTGGGTAGGTTGTAGTTTCAGTGTTGGTTGTGTAGGTTGTGTAGGTTGTAGTTTCAGTGTGGGTTGTGGTTGGGTAGGTGGTAGTTTCAGTGTAGGTTGTGGTTGGGGAGTTTGTAGTTTCAGTTTGTGTTGTGGGTGGGTAGGTTGTAGTTTCAGTGTTGGTTGTGTAGGTTGTGTAGGTTGTAGTTTCAGTGTGGGTTGTGGGTGGGTAGGTTGTAGTTTCAGTGTTGGTTGTGTAGGTTGTGTAGGTTGTAGTTTCAGTGTGGGTTGTGGGTGGGTAGGTTGTAGTTTCAGTGTGGGTTGTTTGTGGGTAGGTTGTAGTTTCAGTGTTGGTTGTGTAGGTTGTAGTTTCAGTGTGGGTTGTGGTTGGGTAGGTTGTTGTTTCAGTGTGGTTTGTAGTTGGGTAGGTTGTAGTTTCAGTGTGGGTTGTGGCCGGTGGGTAGGTTGTTTTTGTGTGGTTTGTGGTTGGTGGATAGGTTTTAGTTTCATTGTGATTTATGGGTGTAATGTTGGCTGTAGTTTCAGTATGGTTTGCGGTAAGTGGGTAGGTTGTAGTTTTAGTGTGGTTTGTGGTTGGTGGGTAGGTTGTAATTGGGGTGTAATTTTTATGTGGTGTGTATGTAATTGTTTCATTGTAATTGGCATGTGGTGTGTATGTTGTTGTTGCAAATGACTGTTCGTAGCTTGGCGATTGAGTGTGATCCATCGTTGATATAACCGTTAACACAGTGGAACTTGTTGATTCAGTGGAAACCATCATATTAGTCACTCCAGGGTATTTAGTCACACTAGGAGGGAAAGTCGATCCTGGAGAGGAAGTCACTCCAGCAGATGAAGTCACTCCAGGAGAGGAAGTCATTCCAGCAGATGAAGTCACTCCAGGAGAGGAAGTCATTCCAGGAGAGGAAGTCACTCCAGGAGAGGAAGTCACTCCAGGAGAGGAAGTCACTCCAGGGGGGGAAGTCACTCCAGGGGAGGAAGTCATTCCAGGAGAAGAAGTCATTCCAGGAGAGGAAGTAATGCCAGGAGATGAAGTAACGCCAGAAGAGGAAGTCACTCCAGGAGAGGAAGTCACTCCAGGAGAGGAAGTCACTCCAGGAGAGGAAGTAACTCCAGGAGAAGAAGTCACTCCAGAGGAGGAAGTCACTCGAGGGATTTTAGTCACTCCAGGAGAGGAAGTCACTCCAGGAGAGGAAGTCTTTCCAGGAGAGGAAGTCACTCTAGGAGAGGAAATAACGCCAGGAGAAGAAGTCACACCAGGGGAGGAAGTCACTCCAGGGGAGGAAGTCACTCCAGGGGAGGAAGTCACTCCAGGGGAGGAAGTCACTCCAGGAGAGGAAGTCACTCCAGGAGAAGAAGTCATTCCAGGGGAGGAAGTCACTCCAGGAGAGGAAGTCACTCCAGGAGAGGAAGTCATTCCAGGCGAGGAAGTCACTCCAGGAGAGGAAGTAACTCCAGCGGAGGAAGTCACTCCAGGGGAGGAAGTTATGCCAGGAGAGGAAGTAACGCCAGGAGAAGTCAGACCAGGTGAGGAGGTCACTCCAGGGGAGGAAGTCACTCCAGGAGAGGAACTCACTCCAGGGGAGGAAGTCACTCCAGGGGAGATAGTCACTCCAGGAGAGGAAGTCATTCCAGGGGAGGAAGTCACTCCAGGAGAGGAAGTCACTCCAGGAGAGGAAGTCACTCCAGGAGAGGAAGTAACGCCAGGAGAGGAAGTCATTCCAGGAGAGGAAGTCACTCCAGGAGAAGAAGTCATTCCAGGGGAGGAAGTCACTCCAGGGGAGGATGTAACGCCAGGAGAAGAAGTCATTCCAGGGGAGGAAGTCACTCCAGGAGATGAAGTCACGTCAGCAGAGGAAGTCACTCCAGGGGAGGAAGTCACTCCAGGGGAGGAAGTCACTCCAGGGGAGGAAGTAATGCCAGGAGAGGAAGTCATTCCAGGGGAGGAAGTCACTCCAGGAGAGGAAGTCATTCCAGGAGAGGAAGTCACTCCAGCAGAGGAAGTCACTCTAGGAGAGGAAGTAACGCCAGGAGAAGAAGTCACTCCAGGAGAGGAAGTCACTCCAGAAGAGGAAGTCACTCCAGGAGAGGAAGTCACTCCAGGAGAAGAAGTCACTCCAGGGGAGGAAGTCACTCCAGGGGAGGAAGTCACTCCAGGAGAGGAAGTAACTCCTGGAGAGGAAGTCATTCCAGGAGAGGAAGTCACTCCAGGAGAAGAAGTCATTCCAGGGGAGGAAGTATCTACAGGGGAGGATGTAACGCCAGGAGAAGAAGTCACTCCTGGGGAGGAAGTCACTCCAGGAGAGGAAGTCACTCCAGGAGAGGAAGTCACTCCATGGGAGGATGTAACGCCAGGAGAGGAAGTCACTCCTGGGGAGGAAGTCACTCCAGGAAAGGAAGTCACTCCAGGGGAGGAAGTCACTCCAGGAGAGGAAGTCACTCCAGGGGAGGAAGTCACGCTAGGAGAGGAAGTCACTCCTGGGGAGGAAGTCACTCCAGGAGAGGAAGTCACTGCAGGAGAAGAAGTCATTCCAGGGGAGGAAGTCATTCCAGGAGAAGAAGTCACTCCAGGGGAGGAAGTCACTCCAGGGGAGGAAGTCACTCCAGGGGAGGAAGTCACTCCAGGGGAGGAAGTCACTTCAGGGGAGGAAGTCACTCCATTAGAAGAAGTCATTCCAGGGGAGGAAGTCACTCTAGGAGAGGAAGTAACGCCAGGAGAAGAAGTCACTCCAGGAGAGGAAGTCACTCCAGGAGAGGAAGTCACTCCATGGGAGTATGTAACGCCAGAAGAGGAAGTCACTCCAGGAGAGGAAGTCACTCCAGGAGAGGAAGTCACTCCAGGGGAGGAAGTCACGCCAGGATAGGAAGTAACGCCAGGAGAAGAAGTCACTCCAGGTGAGGAAGTCACTCCATGGGAGTATATAACGCCAGGAGAGGAAGTCACTCCTGGGGAGGAAGTCACTCCAGGGGAGTATGTAACGCCAGGAGAGGAAGTCACTCCTGGGGAGGAAGTCACTCCAGGAGAGGAAGTCACTCCAGGGGAGGAAGTCACGCCAGGAGAGGAAGTAATGCCCGGGGAGGAAGAAACTCCAGGAGAGGAAGTCACTCCAGGAGAGGAAGTCACTCCATGGGAGGATGTAACGCTAGGAGAGGAAGTCACTCCAGGGGAGGAAGTCACTAAAGGGGAGGAAGTCACTAAAGGAGAGGAAGTAACGCCAGGAGAAGAAGTCACTCCAGGGGAGGAAGTCACTCCAGGAGAGGAAGTCACTCCAGGGGAGGAAGTCACGCCAGGAGAGGAAGTAACGCCCGGGGAGGAAGTCACTTTAGGAGAGGAAGTCACTCCAGGAGAGGAAGTCACTCCATGGGAGGATGTAACGCCAGGAGAGGAAGTCACTCCAGGAGAAGAAGTCATTCCAGGGGAGGAAGTCATTCCAGGAGAAGAAGTCACTCCAGGGGAGGAAGTCACTCCAGGGGAGGTAGTCACTCCAGGGGAGGAAGTCACTCCAGGGGAGGAAGTCACTCCAGGGGAGGAAGTCACTCCAGGAGAAGAAGTCATTCCAGGTGAGGAAGTCACTCTAGGAGAGGAAGTAACGCCAGGAGAAGAAGTCACTCCAAGGGAGGAAGTCACTCCAGGAGAGGAAGTCACTCCAGGAGAAGAAGTCACTCCAGGGGAGGAAGTCACGCTAGGAGAGGAAGTCACTCCAGGGGAGGAAGTCACTCCAGGGGAGGAAGTCACTCCAGGAGAGGAAGTCACTCCAGGAGAGGAAGTCACTCTAGGAGATGAAGTCACTCCAGGAGAGGAAGTCACTCTAGGAGAGGAAGTAACGCCAGGAGAGGAAGTCACTCTAGGAGATGAAGTCACTCCAGGAGAGGAAGTCACTCTAGGAGAGGAAGTAACGCCAGGAGATGAAGTCACTCCAGGGGAGGAAGTCACTCCAGGGGACGAAGTCACTCCAGGGGAGGAAGTCACTCCAGGAGAGGAAGTAACTCCTGGAGAGGAAGTCATTCCAGTAGAGGAAGTCACTCCAGGAGAAGAAGTCATTCCTGGAGAGGAAGTCACTCCAGGGGAGGAAGTCACTCCAGAGGAGGAAGTAACGCCAGGAGAGGAAGTCACTCCAGGAGAGGAAGTCACTCCAGGGGAGGAAGTCACTCCAGGAGAGGAAGTAACGCCAGGAGAGGAAGTAACTCTAGGAGAGGAAGTCACTCCAGGGGAGGAAGTCACTCCAGGGGAGGAAGTAACGCCAGGAGAGGAAGTCACTCCAGGAGAGGAAGTCACTCCAGGAGAAGAAGTCATTCCAGGGGAGGAAGTCATTCCAGGAGAGGAAGTCACTGCAGGAGAGGAAGTCATTCCTGGAGAGGAAGTCACTCCAGGGGAGGAAGTCACTCCAGGGGAGGAAGTCACTCCAGGGGAGGAAGTCACTCCAGGGGATGAAGTAACGCCAGGAGAGGAAGTCACTCCAGGAGAGGAAGTCACTCCAGGAGAAGAAGTCATTCCAGGGGAGGAAGTCACTCCAGGGGATGAAGTCACTCCAGGGGAGGAAGTCACTCCAGGAGAGGAAGTAACTCCTGGAGAGGAAGTCATTCCAGGAGAGGAAGTCACTCCAGGAGAAGAAGTCATTCCAGGGGAGGAAGTCACTCCAGGGGAGGATGTAACGCCAGGAGAAGAAGTCACTCCTGGGGAGGAAGTCACTCCAGGAGAGGAAGTCACTCCATGGGAGGATGTAACGCCAGAAGAGGAAGTCACTCCTGGGGAGGAAGTCACTCCAGGAGAGGAAGTCACTCCAGGGGGGGAAGTCACTCCAGGAGAGGAAGTCACTCCAGGGGAGGAAGTCACGCTAGGAGAGGAAGTCACTCCTGGGGAGGAAGTCACTCCAGGAGAGGAAGTCATTCCAGGAGAGGAAGTCACTCCAGGGGAGGAAGTAACGCCAGGAGAGGAAGTCACTCCAGGAGAGGAAGTCACTGCAGGAGAGGAAGTCACTCCAGGAGAAGAAGTCATTCCAGGGGAGGAAGTCATTCCAGGAGAAGAAGTCCCTCCAGGGGAGGAAGTCACTCCAGGGAAGGAAGTCACTCCAGGGGAGGAAGTCACTCCAGGAGAAGTCATTCCAGGGGAGGAAGTCACTCTAGGAGAGGAAGTAACGCCAGGAGAAGAAGTCACTCCAGGAGAGGAAGTCACTCCAGGGGAGGAAGTCACTCCAGGAGAGGAAGTCACTCCAGGAGAAGAAGTCACTCCAGGGGAGGAAGTCACTCCAGGAGAGGAAGTCACTCCAGGAGAGGAAGTCAGTCCAGGGGAGGAAGTCACTCCAGGAGAGGAAGTCACTCCAGGAGAGGAAGTCACTCCAGGAGAGGAAGTCACTCTAGGAGAGGAAGTAACGCCAGGAGAAGAAGTCACTTCAGGGGAGGAAGTCACTCCAGGGGAGGAAGTCACTCCAGGGGAGGAAGTCACTCCAGGAGAGGAAGTAACTCCTGGAGATGAAGTCACTCCAGGAGAGGAAGTCACTCTAGGAGAGGAAGTAACGCCAGGAGAAGAAGTCACTCCAGGGGAGGAAGTCACGCTAGGAGAGGAAGTCACTCCTGTGGAGGAAGTCACTCCAGGAGAGGAAGTCACTGCAGGAGAGGAAGTCACTTCAGCAGAGGAAGTCACTCCAGGGGAGGAAGTCACTCCAGGGGAGGAAGTCACTCCAGGGGAGGAAGTAATGCCAGGAGAGGAAGTCATTCCAGGGGAGGAAGTCACTCCAGGGGAGGAAGTCACTCCAGGGGAGGAAGTAATGCCAGGAGAGGAAGTCATTCCAGGGGAGGAAGTCACTCCAGGAGAGGAAGTCATTCCAGGAGAGGAAGTCACTCCAGCAGAGGAAGTCACTCTAGGAGAGGAAGTAAAGCCAGGAGAAGAAGTCACTCCAGGAGAGGAAGTCACTCCAGAAGAGGAAGTCACTCCAGGAGAGGAAGTCACTCCAGGAGAAGAAGTCACTCCAGGGGAGGAAGTCACTCCAGGGGAGGAAGTCACTCCAGGAGAGGAAGTAACTCCTGGAGAGGAAGTCATTCCAGGAGAGGAAGTCACTCCAGGAGAAGAAGTCATTCCAGGGGAGGAAGGCACTCCAGGGGAGGATATAACGCCAGGAGAAGAAGTCACTCCTGGGGAGGAAGTCACTCCAGGAGAGGAAGTCACTCCAGGAGAGGAAGTCACTCCATGGGAGGATGTAACGCCAGGAAAGGAAGTCACTCCAGGGGAGGAAGTCACTCCAGGAGAGGAAGTCACTCCAGGGGAGGAAGTCACGCTAGGAGAGGAAGTCACTCCTGGGGAGGAAGTCACTCTAGGAGAGGAAGTAACGCCAGGAGAAGAAGTCACTTCAGGGGAGGAAGTCACTCCAGGGGAGGAAGTCACTCCAGGAGAGGAAGTCACTCCAGGGGAGGAAGTCACTCCAGGAGAGGAAGTCACTCCAGGAGAGGAAGTCACTCTAGGAGATGAAGTCACTCCAGGAGAGGAAGTCACTCTAGGAGAGGAAGTAACGCCAGGAGAAGAAGTCACTTCAGGGGAGGAAGTCACTCCAGGGGAGGAAGTCACTCCAGGGGAGGAAGTCACTCTAGGAGAGGAAGTAACGCCAGGAGAAGAAGTCACTCCAGGGGAGGAAGTCACGCTAGGAGAGGAAGTCACTCCTGGGGAGGAAGTCACTCCAGGAGAGGAAGTCACTGCAGGAGAGGAAGTCACGTCAGCAGAGGAAGTCACTCCAGGGGAGGAAGTCACTCCAGGGGAGGAAGTCACTCCAGGGGAGGAAGTAATGCCAGGAGAGGAAGTCATTCCAGGGGAGGAAGTCACTCCAGGGGAGGAAGTCACTCCAGGGGAGGAAGTAATGCCAGGAGAGGAAGTCATTCCAGGGGAGGAAGTCACTCCAGGAGAGGAAGTCATTCCAGGAGAGGAAGTCACTCCAGCAGAGGAAGTCACTCTAGGAGAGGAAGTAACGCCAGGAGAAGAAGTCACTCCAGGAGAGGAAGTCACTCCAGAAGAGGAAGTCACTCCAGGAGAGGAAGTCACTCCAGGAGAAGAAGTCACTCCAGGGGAGGAAGTAACTCCAGGGGAGGAAGTCACTCCAGGAGAGGAAGTAACTCCTGGAGAGGAAGTCATTCCAGGAGAGGAAGTCACTCCAGGAGAAGTCATTCCAGGGGAGGAAGTCACTCCAGGGGAGGATGTAACGCCAGGAGAAGAAGTCACTCCTGGGGAGGAAGTCACTCCAGGAGAGGAAGTCACTCCAGGAGAGGAAGTCACTCCATGGGAGGATGTAACGCCAGGAGAGGAAGTCACTCCTGGGGAGGAAGTCACTCCATGAGAGGAAGTCACTCCAGGGGAGGAAGTCACGCTAGGAGAGGAAGTCACTCCTGGGGAGGAAGTCACCCCAGGAGAGGAAGTCACTGCAGGAGAAGAAGTCATTTCAGGGGAGGAAGTCATTCCAGGAGAAGAAGTCACTCCAGGGGAGGAAGTCACTCCAGGGGAGGAAGTCACTCCTGGGGAGGAAGTCAATCCAGGGGAGGAAGTCACTTCAGGGGAGGAAGTCACTCCAGGAGAAGAAGTTATTCCAGGGGAGGAAGTCACTCTAGGAGAGGAAGTAACGCCAGGAGAAGAAGTCACTCCAGGAGAGGAAGTCACTCCAGGGGAGGAAGTCACTCCAGGAGAGGAAGTCACTCCAGGAGAAGAAGTCACTCCAGGGGAGGAAGTCACTCCAGGAGAGGAAGTCACTCCAGGAGAGGAAGTCACTCCATGGGAGTATGTAACGCCAGGGGAGGAAGTCACTCCTGGGGAGGAAGTCACTCCAGGAGAGGAAGTCACTCCAGGAGAGGAAGTCACTCCATGGGAGTATGTAATGCCAGGAGAGGAAGTCACTCCTGGGGAGGAAGTCACTCCAGGAGAGGAAGTCATTCCAGGAGAGGAAGTCACTCCAGGAGAGGAAGTCACTCCAGGAGAGGAAGTCACTCCAGGAGAGGAAGTCACTCCATGGGAGGATGTAACGCTAGGAGAGGAAGTCACTCCTGGGGAGGAAGTCACTCCAGGGGAGGAAGTCACTAAAGGGGAGGAAGTCACTCCAGGGGAGGAAGTCACTCCAGGAGAAGAAGTCATTCCAGGGGAGGAAGTCACTCTAGGAGAGGAAGTAACGCCAGGAGAAGAAGTCACTCCAGGAGAGGAAGTCACTCCAGGGGAGGAAGTCACTCCAGGAGAGGAAGTCACTCCAGGAGAAGAAGTCACTCCAGGGGAGGAAATCACTCCAGGAGAGGAAGTCACTCCAGGAGAGGAAGTCACTCCAGGAGAGGAAGTCACTCCAGGGGAGGAAGTCACTCCAGGAGAGGAAGTCACTCCAGGAGAGGAAGCCACTCTAGGAGATGAAGTCACTCCAGGAGAGGAAGTCACTCCAGGGGAGGAAGTCACTCCAGGAGAGGAAGTCACTCCAGGAGAGGAAGTCACTCTAGGAGATGAAGTCACTCCAGGAGAGGAAGTCACTCTAGGAGAGGAAGTAACGCCAGGAGAAGAAGTCACTCCAGGGGAGGAAGTCACTCCAGGGGAGGAAGTCACTCCAGGGGAGGAAGTCACTCCAGGAGAGGAAGTAACTCCTGGAGAGAAAGTCACTCCAGGAGAGGAAGTCACTCTAGGAGAGGAAGTAATGCCAGGAGAAGAAGTCACTCCAGGGGAGGAAGTCACGCCAGGAGAGGAAGTCATTCCAGGAGAGGAAGTCACTCCAGGGGAGGAAGTCACGCCAGGAGAGGAAGTAACGCCCGGGGAGGAAGTCACTCCAGTAGAGGAAGTCACTCCAGGAGAGGAAGTCACTCCATGGGAGGATGTAACGCCAGGAGAGGAAGTCACTCCAGGAGAAGAAGTCATTCCAGGGGAGGAAGTCATTCCAGGAGAAGAAGTCACCCCAGGGGAGGAAGTCACTCCAGGGGAGGAAGTCACTCCAGGGGAGGAAGTCACTCCAGGAGAAGAAGTCATTCCAGGGGAGGAAGTCACTCTAGGAGAGGAAGTAACGCCAGGAGAAGAAGTCACTCCAGGAGAGGAAGTCACTCCAGGGGAGGAAGTCACTCCAGGAGAGGAAGTCACTCCAGGAGAAGAAGTCACTCCAGGGGAGGAAGT